ATAGATAGATAGATAGATAGATATAGAGATAGAGATAGAGAGATAGAGAGATAGATAGATAGAGATAGAGACAGAGACAGAGATAGAGATAGGTAGATAGATAGATAGATAGATATATTCCATTGGGAGCGAAGCTGCAGGCAACACATTTTCTTCTTCTACCAGCGTCCGGACACGCAGAACGAGCACAACGAGCTCGTGGACAGTCACAAGGACAGCAAGCTGACCATCACCACTGGGGAGAACGAGCGCATCAAGAGTTTTGCTGTCTACTTCCTCCGGTGCTTTGGCCCCCAAACCACCGTGGCTTCGGTCTGGGTCGACCGACTGGCCTGGCACGTACCGCGTGTCGTGCGCGTGCGCGGGCGTGCACGGGGTGTTCGTCGTAGAGTGTAGAGCGAAGTTGTGGGACGTGACCATTGGACAGAGGGTGGGTTTTAAAAAAGAGAAGACAACTAAGAAGTGAACGGTCATTAAATGGCTCATGGGGACGTGGGAAGATCTGGTGCAAGTAGCCACACCTGTGAGCGCTGCAAACAATATGTGCACAAATATGACCTGTTCACAAGAGGGGGATTGGCATGTTGACCAAGACCCTCGTTGCTTTGGAATGTGGGCGGTAGACATGGATCTACCATGTGTTCATGGATCTACCATGGATCTACCATATTTAGAGTTGTAAGGATTTAATATTCATTACACCCAAACGCTCCTGGACCCTCATATGGAGGGGTCAGACCCTCATATGGAGGGGTCTGGGATCTCAAATCCCTATGGTTTTGAGGGACCAAGGGCTGTTTGGAGCGTCTGGGCAGATTGCAGTTTCCCAACATCACTCCGAAGCAGCCCCAGAACAGCCGGGTTCCTGGCCTGCCCCCATCCTCTCACCCGGCATTCGACCAAAGGTGTCCAAGTGAGGAGGTCTTCGCTCCAACGAGACACGCCCAGACATCCTCATCCCAAGCCTCACATGTGGTCACAGCGATTCGCTGTTTGCACAAAACCAGCGATCCCAGGGGCTTTGGGAACGGCACGGCATCCAGCTCCCCATGTCAACGGCGAAATGTCCAGGCTGAAGTCCTACCCCCCCCCATAGTCCCCCCGACACATCCCGTCACCATCCTTTGTGGATCATCCACACTTTTCGCCATCCTCGTCGTTTCTCCACTCGACGTCTGGGCGGACGTCTCGCCTAAGGACGGTGCCGCAGGACAAGGCCATCAAGACAGATGTGTTCTCAGACCACGAGCTTCTCTTCGGAGAAGTGACCGCCAATCCCTTGGAGAGTGCCCCGGCGGTTGGTGTGGAGCGGAGTTCAGAGTTCAGAGCGGCGTTGGACACGCGTTCAGCTGGCGTTGGGGAGACTGGAAGGAGTGGGTGTTTTTGTTGACCGGTTTTTCCATCGTCTCAGACCTCAGAGTGCTTTCAAGTCGAGTGAACTTGTATCAGGAGATTTCTGAAGGCTGGCGGAAAGCAGTGGGAGCAAGAGGGTCATCCACTCTGAAACTACCCTACCCTTTTGTCCACCTGCGCCCCCCTTCTCCAGATGACTGCATCGCCGACATTTTGCATCGCCGACAAGCCGTACCAAAGGTGTTCTTTTCGTTTGGTCCAGCTGCGTTGTTCGATGGGCCGGTCGGGATGCTCACTCGGCACTGATGCAGATGTAGTCACTGATGTTGTTCATGTGACATGGAAACAGTGAGTGATCCAAAACACGCATGAAGAAACTGTGGCCTCACCCTGTGAAGCGGAACTCTCAAATGACCTCTCAGCCTGGGCTCCTCCCGCCTGGCACCAGACCTCCCCCCAATCGACTGAGGTCTGAGCGCCACCTTGGCCAACATTTTTCAGCCCATCAGCGCGCGTGGCCGCACAGAGATCCAGTGGGGCCAGTGTGACCAGGAGCAGAAGGCCTGACCAAAAAACGGGGCAAGCCAGGCTTTTCGTGTCAGCACAAGCCCATTGGCAATCAGGCATGCTGAGGCCGATGGCCATCCATGTGCTGGCCATCCAGTCGCTTCGCTTCGGAGCATGACATCGAGCCGTTCGAAGCGCTCGAATCGAAGATGATGCTTTGGATGGATGTTGGAACCCTCAAACCTTCTGTTCCAAGCACCTGCCAACCTGTTCAATCTGCTTTCGTTGGCCTTTGAGCACTTCTTGACGCTGATTTGCTCCACCTTTGGGGTTCCCCACCCCCATCCCCAACTACCAGCCCCCCCCTCCGTCGTCCACACAGGAACTCCGTTTTTCCCGGCAGGTGGAGTTCCTGTCGTCCTTCGAAAAGTTCTCCGTGGAGCTTTCGGAGTCCATCAGTGCCTTAAGCGCGGGCATCGTGTTGAAGAAGGACGGGCGGAAGGGTGGGTGGAGGTGGGTGTTCATGGAAGTGGGGGCGGCTGGTGTTCAGGGTGTTCTATGCGAGATTTTGAAGCCCGTCCCCAACTGCACAGAGCTGGGAACCTGTAGAATATAAGAACATATTCTACAGGTACCCAGCATCTAGGAACCCAGTACCCAGCTGGGAACCCATCATATAGGAACCCTGGATGGGCTTTTTCTTTTCGTACTCTTTGCACTCTTTTTTGCATATTTTTACATTAGGAAATGGTATTTTGCATTCCATTATTTTATCGTATTTCTTAATCTTAATAATTTTAATAAATCACATCCTCTCCAAGTTCCTCTCCATTCAAGGGTTTACTTAAGGAAATGTTGTCCCTCAAAATTAGGATGAAGACCATAAACTATATAAAAATATGAGGTGGCAATCAGTAACGCATGAATTCTATTGGCGGCACCGCAGTTGTGACACGTTCGGTGTGATGGGTATCCCCCGCTCTCCGGACCTGGAACGCACGCGTGTTGATTCACCGAATCGTCGAACCCCAAAGCACCACGACCATCGCACGCCGTGTACCAGCCCAAAAGTATAGGTGGCGAAGGGTAGATTCATGGGTGACCCCTTTGGAGGGTTCCGGAAGACCCCCTTAGATATTTTCTTCCAGCAGTCATAAGACGGGGTGCGATCCATGGAGGTTAGGGGTACCCTTGTCACATCCACTCACTTGGGGACCAAACACCACCCTTTTGTGACTCCTGGTTGATTCTTCTTGATGGTCAAGCTCCCAGGACCTGCCTTCGGGGCTTTTCCTGGATCCGAGCAGCCCGCAGTACCAGGAAAAGAATGCTCGGTGGCGCGCGGATGGGGGGGTAGCCGAAAGGCTTGGTAGCACGGCAGGGGTCCGGTTGGTGAGGAGACTGTTGTGCACATTTGACCTACACTGTAGCACAGGAACTGTTGCATGATGCCTAGCTGCTAGCTAGCCCCGGCACTCACAGTGCAGGGCATTGGTTGGTTTGTGTATATTGAATGTGCGTGTTGATCGGGGCTACAAGCCGGAAGATGATAAAGAACGGGCTTATTGTCAAGTCAACATCAATGCATACACGATGGGGATGTTTTGTTGCACCCCCAATGGATACACCCTGCTTTGCATTGAAAGCTACAGGTAACACTTGTACTTTGGCTTTGATATAGGCCCTGGCTGTGCATCATCATCCAACTACATATTGTGATTGGAAAGAAGGATGCACTCTGCGCACTCTGATTCACTAACATGGAAGTGGACAATTGTCCCTTGGAAGACTACTTTTCTTTACGACCAGGGGGTTTTCCACTTCCATGTGAGTCGGAGTGTACATTCATTGGCTTTGCCAGCAAGTGCCATTCGGCTTGTGTTGCTTTCCGTGCTGAACCACAGGACATGCTGAGAGAGAATCCGGAGGTCATTGGCGAGTACGGAGCTCTATTGGAATCCTGGTGTCGCGACATTGAACGATACCTGGAAGAAGGTTTGGATCAACAAGCTGTTGAGAAGGAGCCAGGACCGCGTGGTGAGCTCGAGACTTTGTTGCAAGAGGATCCTGATGTTGGTCAAAACCTATACCCTAAGGATCCAGTCGTACCTCTGAGAAGGTGGGACTGGGGTGGGTTTTTGAGGAGGTACGGCTGGATCCCCAGGGATAGTATATATTGGTCAAAACCCCTTTTCTGGTTGGTTGGATCAGATCCTTCTGCACACCCTTCTCAGCCTCAGCATGCTGCAGAACCTGGCACCCGCGCACCTTCATATGAGACCCCAGACCCCTCCATATGAGACCCCTGCAGAACCTGGCCTAAAACGGCCAAGGACTTCTGGCGCAGCCGCATGCAAAAGATCACCTCCATCACGGAGCAGCTCAAGGGCCGCGAGTGCAAGGCGGTCTTCGACGTGCTTCACGCCGTGACGCGGCACGGAGGCAGTGACGTGGCGCCTAAGAGCCGGCAGACCGTCTTCAATACACTGAGAAGATGGAAACAAATCGATGCTTGGAGCTGACCATCTTTGAAAACTGCCCCCTCCCGTGGTGTTGTTCAGAAAGAAGGACTTTCCATTGACTTTCCTTCTCTCACCACCCTCTTGGAAACCCGGGAAGAGTTGAACCAGATGGCATGGGACCAGACTGGAAGACGTACTTTCGTCGATTTTGCGGGGTTCAACCGTTTGTTCCTAAGCAGGGTGTTGCTTCATCCGTGTCGGTGACGCGTGTAGGTCGTTATGTCATAATTCCCACAAGTTTGACTGATTTGGGTTTGTAACTTCGACCCCTTTGTACCAGGACCGACCCCAAGCCCGGTGGTTTTTGGATACCCCTTAACACTAAGAAAACACTAAGAAGCTATTTATGGACACCTCGACAGGAAGGTCCTGGTATAGGGGTTCAGTGACGATTTGGCGCTTCAAGTTCACCATGTAGACCAGTTTTGACCACTTCCATGTGCCTATAGCACTTCCCATGGGTGCCCTGGAGTAGGAGACCTAGGCTAAGTAGTGTGGGGTTTGTCCTGCCAGGTGACCCGTTTTATTTTAAGCAGCTGGATGTTTGCCATTGTTTTTCAGTACTTCATGCTGCTGGTCGACACTTTCGACCAGGACATCTCCATCACCGAAGCTTTCAACGAAGCGAAAGACAATGTGAAGTATTTGACGACCTTGGAGAAGTTCATTGAGCCTTTGTGCCCTGGGTCACGGTCAATCTCATTTTGTTGGTGACTGACCCTGTCTAAATAGACAACTGTTCCTCTAGACTCTGGACTCTAGGGTGCTGCATCAATTCCTTGCGTGCTGCGATGCGAACTTAAAGGTGTCAAGCAAGAAGGCGTGGTTAGAAGCCCGAAGAGTTAAGTTGCTACCAGGCAGGCCAAGCTAATCCCTGAAATATCGCCCGTGCTTACTCGATGTGCTTCCGTCCACTTGCACCCCTCAAGTTCAAGAAGCAGCATGTTCGCACCTTTTCCTGACTTATCCTCATCCCCAAGCAGCGCCCATGCGCACCATCCTTGCAGTTTCCACTGCACACCACCCTGCCAGGTACAGTGGGAGCCCATCCCAGATCATCGACGCCCTCCCGGCCTTGCTGAACTCTGTCACCATGATCCACACCATCGCGCGGTATTACAATACCTCCGATCCTTAGAATGAAGAGCGGTCCAGATGCGATGCATCGTCGGATGAGGTAGGCATGGCTGGGACGAGCTGGGCCTCGGCGACGTGAGGTGTACGTGAGGTGAATGTGGCATCCGTTGAAACACTTTGAAACACCGCGTGGAGCACGAGCTCGCGAGGCTTTTGTTCGGCGGAGCGAGTGGGGTAGGGGGGTGATGGATGTGAAAGATGCCACGGTTTGGACTGGTTTGGGCGTCCCTGCCCCAAAAAATCCCGGATAGCAGATGATAGCAGTGTAGGGGAAGGTCCGGACACCCCAGATGGATCCTGGAAGAAAGTGGATAGCTTGTCCTGTTCAAAGCACTTGAGGAGCGCATCACGAACCTCTTCTCCAAGATCACCAATCAGATGATCGTCAACTGTCGGTCCTGCATTATTGGTGATTGCGAGGATGCATCACATTTGTGGGATATTTTGCCACCAGAGCTCATCAAGAACTTAGAGGTGTGTTTGAAGCTCAATGAGGCCTATCAAGAGCAACTCGGGCCAATTCGAGGACCTGTTCTAGGACCGGGGTAGCTTTTTGTTCCCCGGTACGTTTGTTCAGAACTTTTTTGGTAGCCACATCAATCCGCGCCAACTTCCCCCGTTCACTCGTTTCGCATGTCGCTGGTGCGCTCGCTGACCTGCAGGCAATACAACCTCACCAAAAGCAAGCTCATGACCTTGCCGAAGGGCAAGCAGTTTGACTTCAACGAGAGCTTGATCTTCGGGCGCTTCGACCTTTTCTGCCGAAGAGTGGTGAAGCTCATCCACATGTTCGGCACAGTGCACCAATTCAATCAGCTGAAGATCCACTTGAAATCCATGGACGGGATCCGGCAATTGGTCGCCCCTCGGGCCGTGTGCGGGTGGTTTTTGGTGGCGGATCCGGAGGTCGTCGGTCCTGGAGCGCCACCGGTGTTGTCTCAGACCTGTGGTGAGACCCCCACCTATGTGGGTCTGGGCTTGGAGGGGGCGGCATTGGATAGTCAAGTGGTGTGTGGTGACCTGTGGTTTGAGGCAGTCAACCACGAATCCGAAGTCGAGTCTGATGCAGGGAGATGGTCGGAAGAGGGTCACCAGACGGAGGGATCAAGGTTCAAGTACCGAAATATTAACACCCAAACACCCCATGGGACTGCCATATGCCTACATTGACCCCTCAAACCACCCCAATGTAGGCATATATGGCATACATGGAGTGTCTGGGACATGTACTGTCAGGATCTGTGAGGCAGATGGTACTGATCGATGCATATGTATAAATCGATGGATGATATCACACATGAATTTTACAATTGGTGTTGTACCTCCCAAGTGTTTGACACAAAATTCAACATGCACTCATTCGGCAAGCGACTGTTGGTTCCAAACCATCCAGAACCCTGACAAAAAATGAAACTCCTTAGCCTGATCATTCACCAAGCGCCTGTCCCATCCGCGCGCCTGGTTTCCCCACAAAACGCTGCATGTTCCGCTTCCGGCTCGGAGCTTCCGGTGGCGGAAGCCGACGGCAGTCACCCTGTTGAATGAGATCCACTGTTTTCCGGCTGCGGGGGAGCCACGGACGTTTCTGGCCAGTGAGCTGCAAGTTTCGTTGGTTGGCCCTGCTGCAGATGTTTTGCCTGAGTCTTGCACGGGAAGTCGTAAGGGATTGTTTTGCTTTCTAAGCCTCCCTCACAGCAGGGTTGCTGCGTTGGGAGCCAGGGTAGTTTTGCAGAGCCAAGGCATCTTTCCAAAACATCGTGGACGACTTCAAAGTGAAGCGTCATGACTTGCTGGACTTCCTGAACAATCGCTTTGACCGAGCAGCTTGTTTGGATTATTAAGAAGAGCTTTCTTGCTTGGCTTGCTTGTTGCAGGTTTCCACCAAGCTTCGACGCACAAGACGTGATCCAGCAAAACCGGACCACGGGACCCTTTGTCCCGTGGGGATCGCCAGGGAGCGAGCCTCACCCACCTGGCAATCTGCAAAAGACAACCTTCCTGGAATCAGCATGGAAGTGGAAAACCACGATGTTTCTAGAGGAACATGGTCATCCTATGTCATCCCTGGTCCTTTTCGGGGCCGTCCGGTGCACATCCACGATAGTCATCTGGATGTTCCGGTGTTCCAAGCCCAAGTGAATCCCTTCTACTCCAAGGACTATGTGGAGTTCAATGTGCGTGTGAGTGAGTTGGAGAGCCGATTACAAGAGTTTATCAACCAATCCTTCCACAACATCGCCTCCATCGATACCTCCTTGAAGCTTCTGAGCAAATTCCAATCGATTCTGCAGAATGGCAGCTTGAAGACCGTGCCTGAGCTGGAACGTTTACAGAGCCTTCTAGGATGACTTCGTTCGTTTTTCATTTTTTTGCTGCAGGCACGGCCACCAAGCAAATCTAGCCAAAAGATCCTGAGAAACCTTCAGGTCAATCACAGGGAGAACCCCCTGGAAGAGACCCACATGGAAACCTGAAAACCCCTTTGTTAGACTCGGAAACGAGTCTTGCAGGTCCGTCAGGTTTGACTCACGGTGACCCACGGTGACGTGGATGGCGTCCCACCGGAGACCACGTTGAATCTGACAGCGTAACAGGCCGTGTGCAGCCGGTTTTCCACTTCCGGGCCACGTGTTCGTCGGATTTGTTGTTTCTCCGGAAAGTCACATCTTGCTAGTATATCATGATCGGTGCTTCCACACTGGTACTTCTCTTCGGGATTTGTGATGTACAGTGGTTTCAGAGTATAGTCTTAGACAGATGGGAGGTCCACTACTAAACCTCCGAACTTGGGGGACATACTTGTGCCATACCACCGAACTTGGGGTAGCTTGTGCCATGTCTCACCTCGGCCCATGGTACTTCTTTGATCAACCACTCGACCGGTCTTACCGGTCGATCGTGGATCGCTTCGTGCTTCGTGACGCTTTTCGCGTGGTGGGCCTGGGAGACCCCATGGTGGGCCTGGGACTTGTCAACGATCCAAAAGGAAGATTCTGCTCGTTCTGTTCAGGGCATCAGCCAGTGAATCCATGTAAACCTGGATGACCTCTTCGATTAAGGTACATCAGGCTTATCACATCGGTATCCTGGTATCCTTACATGTCCTTGGGGGCCCAAGTGCACACAAGGGCTGTATCGATGGACGAGCTGATGGTTCTTGATCTTCCTAAACCAGAATTCTAAGCATCGCTCATTGCCAGCAGTCACATGTCGGGGTGCCGAAGCCCCTGGATGGGACGGTTTCCACACCACCCTGGCCTCCATGTGACTCCTGGTGGTGACATCTTGGTGTCATTTTCAGGTGGATGTTGGGGACTTGATACCCCCTGGAAGACGAGCCAGAACCTGAAAACCCCTGGTTGGTAGAGGAAAATCGTCTTCCATGGGACCAGGACGTCAGGGTCTATGTTAGTTTTCGGGAGTGTACCTTTGGGCCACGACCTGATAAGTGTTTGTTACGGTCTACGGTCTACATGAAGGACGCCGCTGGTTCCTTCAGGTTCATTTGAAAGTTTGTAAATCACCGGGGACCTTCCTGTCGAGGTGTCTATAAAGAGCCTCTTAGTGGTGAAGAGGTGTCCAAAAACCACCGGGCTTGGAAGGTCCTGGTGAGTGGTAATTACGTGGTAGTTATATAGGTTGCTATGCATGTTTTCTGTATTTTCCTATTCTAGGCAACAAGGAGTGGATTTTCCAGGCTGCCATCCAAGATCTGGACTTTCCTTCTCCATCCAGACAGTATACACCTGGAGTCTCAAAGTACTTCAGAAAATGGGTGCAGTCGTACCTGTTTTTACATGCCTGCAGGCTCATGTCCCATTTTCCCCGGTACTTGAAGGTCGGGTCCAGGTAGGGATCACTTGGATCTTCCGCTGGCCACTCCTCCTCCGACGGCCCTTTCTACCCAGGACTTGGAGTCGAAGTTCTCGGTGATTTTCCACAACTACGGTCAAGAGCTGGAGGTGCTGAAGGAGGTGTACGTCACTTCGCCAGCAGGGATCGATCGCCTCCCTCGCTCCGCCGGCACGCGGGAGGGCGATCAGTGGCCGGCCATTGTTGGATCGCACGAATGCAAGTGGACGAGTCCCTGCGGTGTCCGAAAGGACCTGGGACGTGCACCTGGTCGAATTCGAGTCCACAGGGTTACCGCGCTGTTCCATGACAAGGATGCTTTTGCTTAGGGTGTTTCTTAAGGTCTTTGAAGGCTCCAATGAAGTGGAAATGACACATAAGATCACTTCAGTCACTTTTGAATGTTTGAAAAGATGAGCCGTTCGCGATGTGTTCTTGAACATTTTTTGACATTATTTCATTTACCCACTGCCTTACATAGCAACCCGATTCATCCCACGGGATGATGAGTTTCGAAAGGGATTTTCAAGGTGAACTACAAGAAAAACCGTCCAAATGGATTGGTTTCTACAGTGAGGAGGCCTTTCTACAACATCGCTTCCCGTGACTTCTGGTCTTCCCTCGTCGCTCCCCTCGTCGGGGACTCGAAACAGCCGACCCAGGAGAAGCAACGGGGCTCGCCGCAGTTCGTGCGGAACATGCCCCCGGTGGCTGGGAACATCATGTGGTCCAGGCTGGGTTTGGAAGGGCCGGCAGTGCAGGAGATCAAGAGAGCATTGTATAGTTTCAAGTTTCTGCTGTAATTATGTCAGATGTGTTCAACTTTTGCTTATATCGTTTGGTACACCCCCTAGTCGCCTCAAATAGCACAGATGAACACTTGCCTAGTCGCCCACCATGTTCTTCAGTTACACCACCATCTCACCAGCAGACGTCCCTGACCTTTGGGGCTCCTCTCCATGCCGGACCTCGGCTCCACTGCGCGAGCCGCGCCACGTAGCTGCCGTGGTCGCCTCGCCCAGCTGCTCGATCAGTCCAGGCAGCTGCTGCACCTCATCATGGATCCCATGCGCCGCTTCCACTTGAACCCCTTGGTGCTGGCCGGCGGCAAGGAGGCCAAGCGCATCACCAAGATGCCGGGACACCCGGGTGCGAGCGTACTCGGCGCGGTGTGGTGCGAGCGTTGAGGAGGGGAGGATGGAGGTAGGGTGGAAACAGGTTGAAACTATAGATCTTTGGGATTTCGCCAAGGTTCATTTCTATGACAGGGTCCATTTGAAGTTCTCCGGAGGAAAAGAAACTGGAGAAACCAACCCACGCCGGAGGTGGGTCCGTTGGCTTCTTGCAGTCATAACGTGAAGGAGTCCGTGCGGACTGCCAAGCTCGGACTCCTCATGTCTCGATGTCTCATCAGCTATGTGCATCGTGCGGACACCATGCGTGCTAAGATGGATAGAATTGGCTGTTCCTGAGGAGAGGCTCGTGAGGTTTCGTTCGACCAGCGGGGAGGTGGATGACCGGAATCGAGTGGATGACAGCTCCGCAGCTCCCCACCACTTGAACAAGCATGTTCAAGCGGCTGTCAATCTATTGTTTATCTAATTTGGGAGCATTGGGAACCTCAAAGAACGCGGCGGTGAGCGGCCTAGGTACAACAAGATGGCCAAGACCTTGGTGGAGTTTGAGATCGTTTGGCATCAGGCCCGGGGCATTTTCTCGGCGGGAAGAGATTGTCGTTGAGTCATCACATGTCATCACTCATCACTGAGTCGGACCTTTCACATCCGGGCCAACCACTTTTGTGGAGGACTGATCTTGAAATGGTTGACCCATCCCCCGTTTTCATTTCATGGGCTTTTCCAAATATGAGAAAAAACATCCTTCACCTTCACCCAAAACACCACCCCAGAAGCCACGATGGCTTCATGTGCGCCACATGGATCGCCTCGCCAAGCCTATCTCGCTCGCCTGGATCCTTTCCCAGACACGACCTGTTTGGGACTGCCATAGGACTGCCGATCAGTTGGGGTGGTGCCAGGGGGGTCTGTCTGGGGCGGCAGTCCTATGGCAGTCCCATGGAGTGTATGGCTTTGAGATGGGCCTCGCCTGGTCGCGTCACACGATCCGAGTTGCGCCCAGCATGGGACGTCGCATATTTAGCCGAGCGCAATGCGCCATGGCCTGTAAGACTACTAGGTGAACCGCCCAGTTTCCCCATGAAATATCTGAGATGGTGTTTGACTGTGTTTGGGGTGGGTTTGGAAGGTCCAAATACCTTTTGAGGAGGGTCGGCTGGAACCCTAGGGTGAGATGTTATTTTGCAGATGGTGCAAGCATGTGAAAACTATCATTGAACGCTGAACCGAGGCCCACAATTTCATCAAGTTTCATCCAGCTAGGTAGAGCTATCAATATGGACACCAACTTGAAACGGCATACAGATTTTGCAATCTTGCACTGCTTTGGGAGCACTGCGTCCACGCAATCGATTTGTGTCATGGAACATCTACGGGAAACTCTTCACCCGCCCAAATCCTTTATTAAGTTTCCTGTAGATTTTCCCACCAAATCTGGGATCTCTCAATCACTTTTCAACTTTCACCACGGCCTCACCCCTTCCCTCCCCACTTTCCTCCCCTCCCCACTTTCGAAAACCCAACACGCACAGACCGACCGCCGTCCTTCTCCGAGGCTTGGATGAGCTCCTTGGAGACCACCAAAGCAGGACTCAACGCCACGCTGATGATCAAACATCCCGAGGATCAGAAGCGCCTTGGTCGTCGCACCGAGCGGAGCTGAACGTCATGTGCGCCGTGCGCGTTCCGTTCGGGGTCGAGCGGCGTCTGTTTGTGCGGAGGAACGTGCATGTCTCGAAATTCAAGCCGCGTGCCGTGCCTCGTGTTTTGTTTTGTGGTGTGTGATGTGTGCCAGGACCTTCCTATTCAAGGTGTCTATAAATAGCCTCTTAGTGGTGAAGGGGTGTCCTAACGTGCCGGCGTGGGGGCGTCGGTCGGACCGTCCAGGCGTGCGGAGCAAAAGGATGGTGAGCAGCACGGGACACCGAGGACTGGGGATGGAGTGATGTTAACATGGCATTTTTCAGGATATCCATCCCATCATCCATTTGCAGGGCTTGGTAGCAACTCCCCATTCTGAATGATTGGCTTGCAGGCTCCTTCCGGATGACTGAGTGAAGCACTAACATAATCATGGAAGTGGTTGTCCCAGCTGTTTGTAGAAGCAAAGGGTCGTCCAAGGGGCCATTTCCATGATTCTTCCACGGAGTGTACTTCAATTCTTGTCTTCTCCCCAAGATTCTTCAACGTTGACTGCAACTGCAACTGGTCCGACTCCAACACGGCCGACTGAGCATTGAGCACAAAATGGGTCCCAGGTATCACGTGAACTTTGACTCCGAGATTTTGCAGCTCATGAGGGAAACCAAGATCATCGACCGCATGGGGCACATCGACATCCCTGAGACGCACGGAACGAATCGGGGTGTTTTCGGTGTGGCCTGGAATCGGCATAAAAAAGCAGCAGGCCGGAAGCAAAGAGATTCTTCCAGCAGTCACAAAGGGGTGCTTAATGGAGGTTAGGGGTGCCCATTATCCACTCACTTGAGGACCAAACACCACCCCTTTGTGACTGCTGGTTTGTTGGATTCCTTTAGCCCAATTGGGGACGGGTTCTACCTGGTAGAGTAAATTGACGGGCCTGCGGGTATTCAAAGGCTATGCGAATGGCGCGCATGCGTGCATGAAGTCTATCATTGATCACTACCCCTGAGAACTTTCAAGCCCCACTGCTGGATGTATGCGTAGAGATTGTACAATGTATGATCGGGCGGCATGTGGTCATGTGGAGCGTTTTTGAAAGGTTATGACGTAGAGAGGGGCCCAACAGGTCAAATATGAAGACTCTAGAGGCCCCAGTTGCCCCATAAAGAGATTCTGAAGATGTACACCCTGGACGTTTAACATGGAACCTGAAAACCACTGGGTTGTAGAGGAACATAGTCCTCCCAAGCTCCATTTTCAGGTTCCATGTTACTCCCAGGTGTACTGATCCAACCAGTTGATTGGCGAGAGTACTTCGTTCACGCAGATCGCCCTTTGTTTGCGTCTCAAAGTAGTTCGACTCAAATCTATCGGTTTGGTTCATTGGTTCAGCGTCTCTCCAACCATCCATGCAAGTGGATGGCATGGCATGGAAAGACCATTGCCAACCTCTGCAAACAGGGTTGGAACTCCATGAAGCCATGCTTGTTGCAAGGAGGGTTTATAAAACTTGATATAACTTGTCGTATACTGTATACTTATACTATACCAGTGCCCCGCAACAGGTTTGCTTTGGAGGCAGCTGTAACGCTCACGATGGTCGGAAAAATGAGACAAAATCGGATTGGAAGGGCTACGCAGGCTACGCGCCCGGAGCGCCTTGGCAGGTTTTGACCTAAGATTTCAGGGCAGTGTTTTTGAGACATGTTGAGACGATTTTTGTGGATCTGAGGAGTGCTCGGATGATCCTGCTCCAGGAAAAGAAGCTGAAAGCTTACTACAACGAGCTGAACTTCTTGTTGCAAGAGTATCGACGAGTCACGCAGATGGTGAAGCCGATCACTGCCAACTTATTGAAACCGCACTTGGAGCACCTGGAGTTGCAGTTGAGGCCTGGCATGGTCACTTTGACCTGGATGTCCATGAACTTGGACGCTCGGTAATCGCTTGCCCCCCACCCGTGCGTTTTGGGGGGAGAAATGGGGGGGTGCCCCACTCAAATCTGGGGAAACGGCTGACGGGCTTAGGGGGAAGACGGAAGACGGAATAATACTGCCCTGTTGTATGAGCAACTCATCTTCCAAGCCCCTCTCATCTCGGAAGTTACTGTAAGTCCAAAGTGTCAGCTGTCAGAAACTCTTCAGTTCAGTCACTGGGGTTCGGTGCGTCGGTTGATTTGTCGGTTGCCCTCTGAGATGATCCGTTCGTTTTCGGTCGTTGGTCCCAAAACGAAGCTGGGTTTCGCGATTCGGGGGTCCTAAACCCTTCGGGTTTAGGTACGACCCTGCTCACTCATGCTGAACGATTTCAAGGTTGAATCATGTTGAATCACGAAGAAGGGGAGCAATGACAGCTCCGGAGCTGTCACAACTGATGCAGGATGAGAGGGAGTTCGGGATGTGTGTGTTGTATGATGTTGTATGTGTGTTGGCTTCGGTTGGCCGCCTTGGCCGTTGAGGATACCTATCTCAAGAGCGTTTGGGATGCTTTAGCCCAGCTGGAACAGCTGATTTCGGGCATCAACGACATCATGGAAAGCCTAGTGGATGCAAACCTTCGCCTGGTCTCCCGCGTGTTGTTGGCAGACCTGCCCGAGGAGACCGAGTCGTTTTCGTGGGTGGGAGAGGAAGGAAAGGTGAGAACTCACGCGACTCAGCCCCCCCTCTCTTCTGCCAGAATGGTATTACAATGGAATTAGAATCATGAATCAGTTTTGCCAGGGTGACACCCACATGGTTCCTACATGTACCTACACAAGGAAGGGGCTATATATACATAAATCCACTCATAAATCCATACTGGCCGGACTTTTAGTCATCAACACTTAACATGCATGAATTGGCTCCGGGACCTCAATGGAAACCCATCACGATGCTGGAGCCTTCCAGTTCCAGTACTCGGTATTCTTGGAGCGGTCCAGTACATAGGGGTACTCAGAACATCCACTCACTTGGTTCAAAACCACCCAGACAACGAATTCGTGGTGTTGTAATATATGATTTGTTTTAGAGTGGGGGGCCAGGGTTAAGGACAGTGGAAATATCATGGTATTGCACCAAGCTACAGCTAAAACTGTGTTCTTGATTGCCCGTATTTGCCTTTCAATCAAGCTAGGGTTGACCGGCCCGAGAATAGAAAGACAAATTACTTAATAAAATTAATCGAACGGATGACCGTGATGCTCCGGATCTTTTCGGATAGGTGAGACTTCTTCTTTCTCCTGTGTCCCTTTCCCCCCTGGCTTTTCCCTCTCCATTTGGCTGGTTCTTCGCTCCGCCGCAGCTCGCTCCATCCATCGCTCCGCTCCACGCAAAACGACGCGGCAGGACACGCGTTTGGTGTCCCTGGACGACTTTGTGGACCTTCAGGAGCGGCATGTGCGACGCACCACCGAGCCTCGGCTTTGCCGAAGACGTGGCGGGCCCCTCCATCGCAAACCCCGATGTAAACTGAACCTGCGGTGTTTGAGGGGTCTTGGATCCCGATGTTGCGCTAGTTACTGGGCGAGGTTCTGCCCATGGAGGCCGGCCTAGGATTATAGGATTCGGATTGACGACTATCAGCCCAGTTTCGCCGATCTCTTAAGGAGTGGCTGGTGGCCAAGAACCAGGAGACCGAGGAGGCGGTCAATGACATGCTGGGCACCATCGTGCCGCGGCGGACAAGAACAGAGCGGAGCTATCGGGGTCGGGGAGGTCGGTGGCTATGGAGGTTTTGCAAGGTTTTGGAAGCTGTTGGTAGAGGTTTTGCAGCTCATTTAGATCTATCTTGGGATACTTTGGTGGAAGTTGATGAGTTGAACATAGTTGAACAAACGCGAAGAAGATGGAGGATGGAGCTTTACAAAATGAGACTGCTGGATTCGTGCAGCATGTCTGGAGCCACAAGGCCCCAAAAGGTAGACGTGTGCAAGCTTCTTCATAATTAGGTTGCGGAATGTTGCGGAGATGGATTTGCCCGCTTCTTCACAGTGACCCGTTGTTGGACTCTTATAGTGACCATGACCTCAAACCCGGCTATTTTTTGCCAACCTGATCTCAAGTTTGGTAGCTTCCAAGGTGGCCTTCCCCTTGGATCCGCATGTGCGCGGCATCTCCGAAAGCGAGATCATCAAAGTGAAGGCCCACTATAACTGGAGCCGCTCAGAAACGGGTCGTCTTAAAGGCGGGCAGATTGGGGTAGCAAGGCCAACGCAGATCTTGCTGCCATGATGTTACAGACATCAAACAAAGGGGCTTTTTTCCGGATGATCACATCGTTGCAGCAAAGGATGCAGCCTCGCTGTCAGGCTGCAGGTGCTGAAAGGAGACCCTAGTGACTGTGTCATGAAGGTGTTACCCTTCGCAAAAGAGGATCACCACGTCCCCATGACGTGCTACGATCCAGTCAGTGATGGTGAATGAGGTCCTTGACCCAAAGGCTATGATGGTACATGGAGAAAGCATCACAGTGCTCAGTTGACCCACTCAAGTTGCCATCCCAAACTCATACTTTGTCCAGATTTCATCCAATTCAATTTCTAAGAAGCTCTAGTGACTCCCGACTATCTCCGACTCACGTTCCCGGAAAGACGATCTTCCACCCTCGGTGTGCTGCATTTGAATGGTCCAGTGATACCTGGCAAGTTCTCCACGCCTAAACGCACCGCCGCCGCCGCGACGGACATCTTCCCCACCGAGGTATGTACCAGTCGCTGCTCGCAGCCACCAAGCGGTCCCTCCACAAGGTCAAGGAGCGCCTCGCGGCACGGAAGCAGTCGGACGGCTCCCCATTGCCACCCATCTTCGAGGCGCGAGCGAGCTTCGGCACGCGCGTGAACCACGCCGCGCATGTGGAACGGGCGTGGCATGCGGTGTCTTGCATGCTTGGGGGGCCCTGGAAATTCCGTCCACTTCTAGAAGACCGAAGACCTCAGCATGGATGTGAATGGGTGTGCATCAAGAACGAGAGACCTCCGCTTGGGGACGATGTGTTCTCGTGCATGTTCGAAAGACGGGTGCGGTTCGGGGGTCACCCTAATGCGAAGACCGAACGCTTGAGTGATGATGTACGCTAAAGCTAGTTCTGATGACGCAAAACATTAAAAAACACATCAACAAGGCAACAAAAAATGAGAAATCATCAGCGAATCCCGAAAGAATGGTGACTGGCTGAGGGCCTTTCTGGGCTGAAGAGCCCGAGCTTTTGTGTGGCAAGTCCCCAAACTAAGCTTAGCCATGAAGTTGGGTGTTGAAATACCTAGAGAGGTTGAACAGCCCCATAGCCCATCCCATCTGTACCACTCCAGGGTCCTATAAGGTCTCTCAACCTCTCCTGGTATGTGAGGCTTAGCCAATGATCATCCGTTCGCATCTCCACGACCCCTCCGGTTTGCAGGTGGAGCTGCAGCTGAATGGCCTGGGCGTGTGTTTGCAGCCGTCCATCGAGGAGATCCAAAGCGCCGTGAATGGCGGGGCCATTGCGGTGCTGAAGAGCTCCAAGATGATCGAGGTGCGTTCAGCATGTTTTCTTCGGACTTGGACGAAACGATCCGGGCTGCTTTTTCTGGGAACGGTCGTCCCAGAAGGGTTCCAGGTCCCATGGACGAGCTTGGATCCTGAGAACCTTTCAAGTGCAACCATTTGTGTGACCGGGTTGAGAAGGTAACATCTACTAGCTCCGCCATCACAGTGACCTTTTGAGATTAGAAGAGGTCACCTATAGGCTAATAATATATATAGATATAGGTCACTGACTGAAGGTCCTGGTGCTAGATCTATATTTGAATATGTCTGCAGTTGGGCAATTCATCATCTGCAGGATCCTATCGAAAAGTCTCAACCCCCTCACGCTTCTTTGGTTTAGAGGTTTGTTTTATCATGTTTCAGCGGTTGTGGAAAGATTTAATGTCATTTTTCGGAGTCCATCAGCGGACTCAGGAGGGCATGTGTTTTTGTGATGTTCTTCACCGCGCAGCCCGACTTTGGGCAGCCCGAATTCTGGGCTTCCCGTCATGTTCGGCACTCGAAAACCGGGCGTGGTACGACCTGCAGAGGGGTTTGACATCGGGCTCCCCCAAAAAGTCCCTCAGCCAAGCGTTCTCTAGCGGCGCCCGAAAGCCCCGTGATGGTGGAGCATCCAGTTTCGGCTTTTCACCACCCTCAACACCTTCACCGGTGGCCCGGACTTGGAGTCTTAGGGTGACATGTGTTCTTTTCGGTACCTCTCTACTTGCAGTTTTCTGCTGCCCAGCATTCCCAAGGCCTGGGACACTGTGACCATCCCCAAAAACGTGGCTCGGAGAACTGGGGCACTGAGCGGGAAGCTGCCCACCCTCAACAAGTGGTTCTTGTTCTCAAGAAGATAGGGTTGACATCAAGACATGTCATTTGCATCGTTCTGGTTGTTGCTTTCTTTTTCTTTTTTTTTTTGGGGGGGTGCTTTACAAAATATACATTATAACTATAAATTATACAATTAATTACATCATGTTTTTCACATATATGTAAATATATATAATTATATATCATGATATATAATGAACATCATATGTAATCCCAGACCATCATAGACCATCCATGTATGGAATAGTCCATTTATGACCCGAATGTATAGATGTTGGACCACTCCATGGATGTCCGGAAATCATCAAGGCATGTTGGGTAGTCCAGCCAGGAAACCCATTGTCTTGAGATGTTTTGAAACATATGCATCTATTAAACCCCTCCAAGACGCCATGCTTACGTGGATCGCATGGCCCTTAAACATATCGTTGACAGTTGAACTCTCTTTGTCTCCACCTTTTTGTACAGTTACTTCCCACCGTATGTATGGAGAGGTAATGTCATATTACCCAGGCAACGAATAAGAAATCCAAATACCAGCAGGGTGCGAACTCCACCCAACCATGTATTGTTGGATGATGTTGGATGGAGGTGACGGTCATCGAAATCATGATTCGATCGTTGGCTCCTCTCCACCCTTCGTCCGACACCGTTGTTTCGCGCAGGTGTTTGACCCAAACAGATGCCCCCAATCACCCCCAACGGGCCCCCAACGCACCACGGAGGGAGCGCCAGGTCTGACAGGTCTGACATGCACCGATTGGAAGACAATGACATCCATTTTCTTCCTCCTGACTGAATTGGTAGAACCCGGGCGAAGCGAAGAGAAGTGAAGAGAAGCGAAGAACCGAAGAGAACCCTGGATTGGTAGAACATCCTGAAGGTTCCAGGCTTTGAGAATCTTTGAGATTTGAGATATTGTTTTTTTGACATTGGGGACTTATGGCTTGTCCATGGAAGGTTTTGTTTCCAGTCAAAGTTGAGATCTCGGTTGTGGTGATGGGCTCGACCTTTTTCTTCTCATACTGGAGGGCTGAACATTTGGTGATCACCATCGTTTCAAAATCTTGTTTACGGTTGGTGTAAGCTGAGAAGCTTTATGTTTCATGCTCTGTGGCATCCTCCACTCGCATATGCCACCGACTTCATCATCCAGTGGCTAGCAAATCTAGCAAGTCCCCTTCCCCTCCGCCATTTGCAATGCCCTGGGGCACTAGCAAGTCATTTGCCCATGGGTATCCCTAGGAATCCAGTCGTACCTTGTGAGGTTCGGTACGACTGGATCCGGTATGGGAACATGATCGACTGGCAACGCTCGTCCTCACGTCCTCGCGGCGGCACGTCCTCGAGTCGTCGAGTCCTCGTGGCCGCCCGAGGTGCAGCTCTTGTTGAATCCCAACCTCCCTCCTGTTCGGGGCAGTGGTTCTCAAGGGACCTTCTATGATCGAGTGGCACAAGATAAAGAGATTCTGCGAGTGGCCTGGTGGAGAGAGGTGTGAGTTCTATGCTTACTTATTAGGCATGTGCAGCTGTGCTTAGAAATTGTATACACCTGCTGTTTGATTGTGGTACTTGTAGCTTGTTGAGTGATATGCTTGCTCTTAGTGGTGAACCCAGTGCAACCCGGAACATCAACAGACATATTGTTTATTTGCGAAATTGTGTTGAGCACATCCAAGGTGGTGCTGCTGCTCACCGGCAGTATTCAGAGACTTGGACAGTGGAGACCTTTGTGCCGACGCCAGTGCTCCGTTTTGGATGTTTTTGGTGTTTTGAGATGTCTTACTGAGAGGGTGCAACTTCAATGCAAGGGGATTGATCGTGGAACATCATGTTTTTGGTGGGTTGAAAGTTGAAAGCTACTTGAGAAAATCCATGTGTTTTCTTGCACTGGGGACAGTTGATGGTTCTTTGGTACCCTACTACTTCATTTTGGGTGCATTTCTGCCACTCTTTGGGAGAAACCAGGCCATCGACAGGCCATCAACATTAAAGAGGGGCATCCTGGACACATCCTCCGATGTTTCACACCCTTGAACTTCCCAACTCGCCACGTATACTACTCGGTTGGCTCGGTCCAGGAACGCCCGGAACGGGAAGGATGAGTATTTGAAGGACTTTGAACGCTGGAGCTGGCTCTGGAACCGCGACATCGATGAGGAGCATCTTGGACACTCTCGGTTCGGTCACGTGGTCTCGGTCGGTCACTGGAAGACGATGCACTGGAGCCTGGTTTCACCACGTCGGTTGGTGGAAAACATGGCCTGGAAAGCAGGCCACACAAACGTCAGGAGGAGGTTCACGACCTTGTGTTGCTCAATGGTTTATACCAGGGCGGACAACGCTGACCCTTTGAGAGGCATAGACAATAGACACCTGCCCTGATGTAGATCAATGTTCACTTTTTGATACTTTTTGGGGCTCATGGAAGGCCAGGTGGCACAGTGTATGAGTTTGTGCTTACTTGGCACCACTAGCCTGACTAAAGTGAGAACGCCGCAAGACCCGTAAAGTGGACACACATGGCCTGGGTGTATGACATCATATATATATATATATATATATGTATCATGATAAATTCAATGTTTTGTTGGGGGGAGGCGATCTTATAAAATAGAAGATGGCGAACCCATGCTGAATTGGACTGCTCACCATCACCCACGAACTCGCCGAACTTCGCGAGTTCAGCCGCTGAGGTATCGGAAGTTCTTGCGCACCGAGCCGTCTTTGGACGAGTTCGAGGCGCGTTTGAGGTCCTTCGCACGCCTGGACGACGAGTTCCAGCTAATCGATGCCAGCCGTCAGATCTCGGCGCTCTCCTTGCAGGCTGCGCTGGGACCGAACGGCGCCGGCTTGCTTAACGCGGCGTGTTCCGCCGTCGACGCGTGCGGTGCGGTGGTGGCGCGTTTGCGTGCCCGCGGCGATGGGCGTGGGCGTTGTTGGGAGCGGCGCGGTGGGTCACTGTGTGGCAGGAAGGGTGATTGATCTTAGTGGGTCGTCCCCTGAGGTCATTCTTGCTATACCTGGACCCGACTTCAATGTACCTTAGAAAATGGGACATGACCCTATAAAGAACAGGTACGACAGTACCCATTTTCTGAAGTACTTTGAGACTCCAGGTGTATATAATATATTAAGGGGCGATCAGGGAGCCAAGAGTCAGCAAAAACCGGTCCCATGTGTACGTACAGTATGCTTGGCTCTTGGGCCCAACCGAAGTACAGGATCCCCAATTTTGTTACAAGCACCCAGCTTGCAGGTCTCTACGGTTGCTCGATGTTGCTTCTGGATGTCTCCAATGTACCCCTGGGCCCTAAGTACAGTACCTCAGAAAATGGGTACGTACAAGTACTTGTTTTATATAGGGGTCATGAGTCATGTCCCATTTTCTAGGGTACTTGGTGGAGGGTCCACATCAGGCCCCATGTTTGAGCCCTCAGTGCTTCTCTTGCAGGCAGGCAACCTGGCCAGGAGCCTCAGAGAGCTAGCAGGCAGGGTTTTCCTGTGATTGTTTCTCTCCTTGACTGGGGGAATATGAGGGAATGCATCTGAGAACTTAGTGTGCAATATTTTGCACGGTGGGTGGGTTCATTTTAAAATGTTGGCTCTTTGCATTCTTCACTATTTTTCACTGGGAACGTGCATTGTTTTAAACTGAACACTGAGATCGTATTTCTCCGAATGTTTCATGGTTGGTTCCTCAATATGTTTCACTGCGAACATTTTTTTTACTGAGAACGTACCTTTTCATACCCTACAAGTGAAAGACCTCATTTTACTGGAGATGGTCATGCAAAACCAGTACTTAAGGAAGTAAAACACCAGGTTTTACTTGGTCAGACTAGACTTGTAGGGATATGTTCTCATGCTCGAGGAATCCTACCTGTATGAGCGGCTCGACTGTCAGGGATGCCCAGGATCACAATCCATTGACCTGACACGACCCGTGTTCCCCTAGGGACGAGCAGGGACATGTAGGACGAGAGCTGGCCGTCTTGACGTGGTCCTTTTTGGCACCCCGTCTTTCGAAACCCTACAGATCCAAGTACCTTCTCAGAAGGTGATTGGAGGCACTGTTATGTAGGTTTGGAGGGTCCAAGTACCTTCTGAGAAGGTACTTGGATCCCTAGGGAAAGTGGAGGAGCGAAACTCAGAGATCTTGCATAGAGAAAAGGTCCCGGCCAATTGGTTTGCTACTTTCTTTTGGGGGGGGACCAACAGTTCTGATTTTGGTGGCTGTGTGTTTTCTTCTTGGGAGTGCCAAGGCTTCTTGTTCCGCGTCTTTCACTTCCTCACTCGGTGTCGGCGTCACCACAAGATACACCGCTTGCACCGTGGGGCTTGCCCCGCCGTGCTGCCAGGCCGATGGAAGGAATCCTTTGCCAAAGAGCTGCACAAGAAGCTAGATTCTGTGAATTGGAGACTGGAATAGGGAGGCCCACCAAACATGCTTTTCCCCCTTCTACATGAACACATACACACCTGGACCCGACTTCAAGTACCTTAGAAAACGGGACATGACCCTATAAAAACAGGTACTTAATAGATCTTAATTGCACCCATTTTCTGTAAGTACTTTCCCTAGGGATCCAGTCGTACCGAACCTCAGGTACGGTGATGTGTTCGACACTCTGACTGTAGGTGCCAAAACGTCGGGTCCAGTCGTACCTTCTGAGGTTCGGTACGACTGGATCCCTAGGGTTTGAGACTCCAGGCATGATACAGTTCTCTCCCCCGTTTGCCCGGAGGAGGTGCTCGGAGTCCGGCAGGTCCCGTCCTTGCTGCACGGGGGGGGGTTGGAAACCCCCACGCGGAAGGCTGTCAGCCGAGATGATCCGAATGAGATGATCCAGCGATGAGTGGACACCTGCTCCTATCCCAGATGTACCCATGTATGGAAGATGGGTCAATACCTTGAGCACCAACACCATGTAGCGTGACCTTTTAAGTAGGTCAAACAAGGTATCCAGGTTTTGACCCGCTGCAAGATTTGCCAACATTGACCCCCCGATAACCACCGTCATTGCCGAATATATCTCAATACATTGACATTTGAATACATAATATCTGAATATATATATAACTATATATATATCCATTGATCTCAGTCCCACACAGCTCGTGTTTGGGTTTGAGAACTGCACTCCATCCATCCATTCATCCCCACCCTTCGAAACCCTTCAACCACCTTGCTGTGCGTCCGAGTGGAGGGCGGCGGCTGTCGTTCGACACGTCCGATGCTCGCGCTCAGGAAGGCCTTCCTGCGGCTGGAGGCTTTGAGCGAGGTCATCAAGTCGACCATGAAGAAGCTGAGTCAGGAGGCGAGACTCTTTTGGTGGAAAGATAGAGGCTGTTGAGCGCAAGGTGGAAGACCTTTCCAAATACACCGTGGACAAGGAGAAAAACATCGCAAACAACTATACAGCTGTATGCTGTACATAAACTGCATTCATTCCTGTGGGGAGACTGCCGTCATTCTTGTGAGCATGTCCTTCCCACCAGTGGTCCGGGGACCTTAATTTTGACTGAGAGGACAATACAGTACAGGGTAGAGTGCAGGCTATTTGTTCACCAACTGATTCTGTTGCCAGTTGATACATATAAACCCCCAGAACCCCCATACCTGGTCATGCAGAACCATTCTAGTTCCAGGCACCCAACGGTTGAATTTCAATTTATCCATTTCACCGAACGCAAGTTCCCCCGAAAAAAACCTTCGTGGCACGACCTTTGAAAAAAGCCCCATTCTCCGCCAGGTGGCAGATGGGGACATCGAAGCCTTGGGCCAAGTGATGCGCACCCTGCGCGAGGTCGGGGTGCCACCGGGGTGGCCAGACGTACTGCGTGGGGTGGTGGCCTCCGGGATCCTCCGGGTGGTGGCATTCTTGTGATATAGATACAGTTTAACACACGGTTGAAGCTTTCTGAAACCTCCATGTTGCTTAAACCGGGTGGCTTGGTTAAGATATGTTAAGCTATATTGTTTCATTTTGTTTCTGAAAGCTTCTGTGGTCAGAGTTTGCTGAAGCAATGCTGCGACATCAGACATGGGCAGCATTTTGGGACCCATACGATCAGAGCTGTGTCCAAAAATCGCGTCTCCTGTCAAGTAGTCACTATATCACGCAAAGCGGTTCATGCTGATCATTAGTTACTAGTCCCTATATGGTCACTAGTCGTGATGCATTGGATGCACTTTAACAGACAAAGAGGAATCACTTGGATCCCTTTTCCAATTGCTGGGCCACGAGGATTACGACGCACGGGTCGCATGACGGTATTTCCCCACCTGTCAGGTGAGGGTTGTTAGATTTTACGTTAGCCCGAAGTGATTTTATGCTTTGTTACTGTAGTTGCTTTGTTATGCCACTGGGTGCAGCACCAGTGTGCAGCCGGCAGGTCCGAGAGAAGCAGGGTGAGATCGAGTTGGAATTGGAACCCGTCGCCCAAATGTCACTTGTGGAACCGAGTGAACGGGGCCGATGGGTGAAGGGTTGAACTGCTGAGATTCTTGCTTCACATGGGCGTGTGGTTGAAGTAGGTCAATCTGCCAGTCCCATGGAGCGTCGGGGTTTCATGAGTTCTCCAGCTTTCATGAGTTCATTGTTGGACTCTTCTGACAGTGTCGAACACATGAGACCAACGCAGAATGATCAACCAGCTGCTTAAAAAACGGGTCACCTGGCTGGACAAGTAGTCTACTTAGGCCTGTCTCCATGAACCACCCATTGGAAGTGCTAGGAATGAATGATTTGGTTTTAGAGGTTTCATCATCAAGTGGCTCATATCATGTGGCTCATCCAGCAATGCCACCAGGGGACACCGATGGTCGATGAAGATGAGGGAGATCCTCAACCCAATGCGTGTTCACAGATATGAGGGACATTGACCTTCCAAGAGGTGTTTGTAAGCAGCCTATGCCAAAAGCCACCTGTTGGAAGGTCCTGGTAATGGTATAGAATCTATATACAGTACTAGCTGTGTTCATCTACTATCCCTTCCTACCAATGGGGTGGCTTTGATGTTGTTTTTTCTTTTGAGTTCTTCACCCAGGACACGAAGGACCATCCGCTTTCTTAAAGCGGATCCGCGGTTTCTCGTGAGGTATGCCATGTTGACTTGCTACTTGCCCAACATCCTGGACAAGGAGGAACAGGATGCCCGCAGCATGCTGCAGAGTAGCTGGACCCGCTTACTCGCCGAGAGTGAGACCAGGCACCTGGAGCTCACGGTGAAGCAGGCGCACGGACGAGACAAAGAGACGACGAGCCCCGGCGGGTTCGGCATGACTCCCAAGACTTCGCCCATAGCTGGCAGATGTGATCCCTAAGGTGGGGTGAGTCGTAGAACGTGGAGTGGAAAGCAGGTCTTGTTCTCCTCTTCTTCCGCCCAAGTCACTCGTGGTGACTGGAGGGCTCGGATCAGACCCTCCAAGCAGGCCGAGAGGGCCCTGTCATAAGCTGCCGACATTGGACTGCGACACGGCTTTCAGAAAAAAAACAAAACGCCCGTTTATAGGGTGCAGGGTAAATCCAGGACCTTGAACGCGTTGAGATCCCAAAATGAGGTCACAAACAGAAACTGCAAGAGGTCACAAACAGAGACTCGGTCACTGACACTGGCTGAAGGGTCGGCATAGGCATAGACCTCACTTCGCTCTGACAGGTGCACTTCAAGCGAAATCTCATCAAGACGGTGCATTCCTTCAAGCGCGACGTGGAGAAGTTCCGGCGCGACTACGAGGAGCGCGGGCCCATGGTCAAGGGCATCCGCCCGGGACAGGCCGTGGAACGCCTGAAGCGCTGCAAGGAGGAATTCGAGGCCACGCGCGGTGCGCGGGTTCATCGCGTGTTTATCACGGATCCGGTGGGGTGTTTGAGTGAAGGGCTCTCCCTGTGGCATGGGCGTTGTTTCGCTCATCGGCTGACGGCATGTCAAGGCATGTCAAGGCCATTCATGTTGACTGTGGATGATTGTTCTATTTCGACCCCCCTGTCTTCAGAAGGCGTGCAAACACACGTTTTCTTATCCGCCACGTGTGAGTGGGGGTTCTCCCAGGTGCACGCTCGGAAGCGGCAGATCTTCGGCTTGGGCGAAGACTTGTTCGGCTTGCCCCACCAGCACCTGGGCGAATCTCTGAGAGTTGACTCTGGTTGGAACGAGGGGTCACGCGGTCGACTAGCTTGGTCACGGTGGGTAGTGTTTCTTGTGTTGTGTTCTTTCGGTGTTGGTCACCCCATTCACCGGGACTTTGTGACTGTGAAACCCCATTCATCGTGTTTTCAGATTAGGATGATTAGGCGGACTTGGTTGATGTGGTGGCCCTTGGTCGTTCGTGGTCAGTTGTCGGGCCCGTTGGTGTTGAGAGATGCTTGCTTTAGATATTAGCTATATAGACGATACTGTACTGTATATAAATTTTTTAAAATATTGCTGTACGATATTACTTGTATTTGATTTGGTGCTGCCGTTGTTCGGGCAAATGTTGGTTTTCAGATCTCGGTTTACCGGTTTCAGATCCAATTTGTTTGCAGTAAGGAGCTACACGCAACTGGACCAGACGGAGAAAGAGTTGGACTACCTCAGTCAGCTCTATGACTTGTACACCGCCGTCCTGGAGACTATTGGCAGGCCCAGCCCCTGCCCCAACGGTTGAAGCGAACATGATGTCCCAAAAAAGTGGCTGGTAAAAAAAGAAACGTGGGTTGGTCCGGGTTGGTAGGCACAAAGGTTTCCACACACCATATGATTCATATATGATCGGTATTTGAGGTGACAGGGACATGGATTCTCGAAGCTGAGAATCCACCTGCTATGAGGCCCATTCCCAGGCGTCACGGTTCCGAGTTGGACGGAATTGAACGGGTGCCTCAGAGAAATTATGCCCCCAAACTATAGCGAATCGGCCCTTGCAGTGCATTTGTTCAGATTTTGTGATGAATAATTCATATCAGCACCTGCAAGTGCACTGCCAAAGGCCTCAACCAAGAAGAGTTGGGGCTTGCACAAACTAGATTCTAGATCAAACTGGGCTAGAACAATAATAGCAATCTATGCAGACTCTTTAGCAACTTCTCCCAATCCCGCCCCTTGCCAGCCAAAAACCTTTGAGCCCAAGACATGGCTGGCTTCCACCAATTTGACAATTTTTAAAGGGCACATAGGACACCTTTCTACTTTGGAATGCCCAATTGTTAGGAAGGAATCGGAAGGAGGAAATTGTTACGAAGGAAGGAAAGGAAGGATGATATGCTTCAAACGAACAACTTGTTAATTGTTAGGCTGGACTCGATCTGTGTTATTTGTAGACAGCTAGGTTTTATGGAACATTGTGAGGCTTTACACATCTTTACGCATTTCAGATATATAGTAAGAATACAACATCAACCGTGCTAAAAAGACACGTGCACTGCCACAGCCTGCCACACTCGACATACTCAACTATATGGGTTTCGATCCAATTCCGCGATGATGGATGGAGGGTCCAGGGTACGAGGTCAATGACCTTCGCAAGTGGGTGTTTTCCTTCAACCGTCGGTAGTACTCCTGCCAGGCATCGGTGCCCTAGACATTTAGACCTGGCTGGTGGGTCTGACAGCACATAGAGAGGTCAGTTTCACCCAACTTTATAGAACCTCAGCACCGATCCTAGGATTAAAAAACTCAATAGAAGCTGTAGCTGATATTTGTGTTTGTTCAGGGCAATGGAAACTTCATGTTCATCAGACCGCAGGTCTTGGCCCGTAGCGAGAGTCTGCCTGGGAGGTGGAAAGACTACCTGTGGGTGGATGTGCCTGCACAGATGGAGAGTATGAAGAAGGAGGCGGATCAGTGTCTTAGCTCAGGAATTGAGGGGTTAGAGATGGTCAGAGGATTCGATTCATTTTGTGGTCCTGCCAAATTGAACAGACAGATACTTTGATGGTGTTTTCTTTTAGGGACTTGATCGAGGACTTCGTAGCACTTGGCTTGAACCTGGGCTGATGTGCGATGGATGATCCATTCACAACGTATTTTTGGTCAGCCATCCGAACAACGAAGGGTTGATTTTTAGGGTGCTTTTGTTCGCATGACTCGATGATTTAGCTCGTGTGGGTTGGAGCCAGTCCTAAAATCATCCCCAACAAAGCATGATGCATAGGCTTCGATTAATTACTCCTGTGCATAATAGTGACCGGAAAGTTCAGAAGACTTCATTCTATATGAGCAACGGCCTTTATTTGCGGAAGTGAAGATTAGTGGAAGGGGCGTTCCTTTTCTATAGCCCAATGTCAGATTTAGTTGACGAAACCAGGTAGAAACACCCCGAGAAGGAGATGGGCATCAATTGCGCCATTTGTTGGACATGTTTTGGTTAATGACATGTTTAGCTGGTGAAGCGAGGTAGGAACACCTCTCGAGAACGAGATGGGTATCCATTGCACCAAAACCGATACAGGAATGGAGAACGATATCACACCCCAAAAACGATGCTAGATTGGATAACGAGGTAAGGAAGGCCCATGTCACGAAAGGTAGCTTGAGCTACCTGAGTTCTCCTTGCTTTAGCAAAAATGTATTACAATCAGGAGTTGGGATTGTGCATTGAATTTGGTCCTGTAAGAGTTGATTCTGTTCGTCGGGGGGGGGGGGGGGCCACGGGGCCCCCCCCTCCCTGGATCAAATCCCCCCTGCGCCGGTTCACGCCGTCATGGACTTCTACCAGGGATACTTGTGATTGCCTGCTACCTTTCGTTCACCCCCTCCTCTCTCAAGTGATAACTTAACGGAAATATGTTGCATTGCTCATATACAGTACTATAATCTAAATATACTTATAGTAAGCTTACTGTACTCTTTCGGAACTGTCAGAACTGCTTTGTATGTACAGTGGGTTGAGAGTAGATGGCACAATCCCCAAAAGGTGGTTTACATGGACCCCTATATAAAGGACATCTTGGGGTTTGTGCCATCTACTCTCAATCCACTGTACATACTTGTTTAATACACATTCGATGCTTCAGAGCATAACATCAAGACTCCAGATCCTTGATGTGACCATTTTGGGTCCCTCGGCGAAGCGAGGTTTGCGTATCGCTGTAAGAAGATGCCACCGCAGCTGCGCGAGTGGCCGGCATACCATGAGCTCAAGAAGGAGATTGAAGATTTTCAGCACATCCTGCCCATTCTCATGGAGCTCTCCAAGAAGAGTATCTCAGATGTCGAACAGCTGAAGGCATTCGCCATGGTCTTACATGTTGCTGTGTTACTATGCTTTCAGTTGTTTATTCTGACTTTAGACGTGTCAATCTTGGAGTCATTCAACATGTGAAAGTCTATGTGATGTGAAGGCCTGATAGCCGCTGAACTCGCGACCCGTTCATGTCAACCCACCCCAGACTAACATGGAACGTATTTTTGACGGGGTCCGCTATGGTAGGGCCGTGGATGTTTTGCTTCGAACAACTCTTAATGTCCTATAGTATAGCCATTCCAATTCTCCACCACCACCAACGAGGCCACCTCCAAGACTTACCGGCTTACCGGCCACCCCGACCGCCCCCCCCGACCGACCCCCGTGCGGACCTCCAGGTATTCAACAGAGGCACTGGCAGCAGGTGAATGACATCACCGGAAAGGACCTCCAAGTGGAGAGAGAGGACTTCAAACTCCAGTCATTGATCGATGCCACTCAGCCGCCGTTTTTTCTTTTGCAAGGCTTTCGTGGTGGAAGGCGTGAGGGCGAAGACGTGGTGGAAGACATGGTCTCGACTGAACTGCCCGGGTTTTCGTGTGTCGACTTCCTCCCACCGGGTGTCGAATCACCGGGTGACACAAGGTGCGTCCGAATCACAGGTGTTCTTCGACACCCTCGCTGATGTGAAGCATCAAACTGGGGAGCTTAAAAAAAACCGTCGCGCATGGATTGATATACGGCGTACTGTATACCTGGACCCTCATTCAGGCTCAAATTTCTGCCTGTTCAAGAAAATCTGCCTGAACCAGGGTTTGTCCTTAAAAACAGCCTGCGGGCAGAAATCATTATTCGGGCAGAGTAGCAGATGCTGCAAATTACTTGCAAAGCACCTAAGTTGCAAATCTGCAGTTTTGAAACAATGTTCGACACTTCAATTCGGGCGAGAATCGGCGTGATTCGGGCGTGAATTGTTGTGATCGGGCGAGAATTTGTGTGATCGGGTGGATTTTGTAGACTCAAGTTGCATTGCATGTATTCATCACTCGCAGAATATATCTATCATGAACAAAAACACATTCGGGCGAGAATTCCAGGGTCGGGCGTGAAAACCATGTTCGGGCAGAAATACTGCCTGCATGGATTCGGGCTGGAATTCTAGCCTGGATGACTTCCTAGGTATGCTCTATACCTCACTGGCATGTTTACCTAGATTGAGGTGGTTTCAGGGGTGAATGTAGGCCGTACATGCCATCCGAGGGATTCGAGTATGTCACCGTAGGGTTCTCATGCTTTCCCACACACGGCCTAGCGTGATCGAAAAAGGGGTCAAAGTCGGAAAGTATTTCATTTGCATGGAGGTGTGTTCACATATTAAATCATATTAATATATGACATGCTTCTCAGGTTCGCGACTGGACCTATCCGAGGCACCTACATTGTCCATCCAAGTGTGACCTCCACCCGTTTGAGGGTGGAAGTCACTGACGTTACCGATCGACTACATCGCAGATCGCCTGAGGCCAAGCTGAATGATTTCAAAGATGAAATCCTCGACATCACGGAATCGGCCGATAAACAGCAGATCATCGAAGAGAAGCTCGCAGCGACTTGGGCGAAAGGCCCTTTTCAGGTCCGGGACGAAGGGCAAAGCGAAGGGCGTTTTCAAGCCAAATTAAAGACAGTGGCCCACTGGGTGGGCAGATGGCAGCTGATCAATTTCAGTAACTTACATGGGGGTCATTGGCTTCGTTACTGGTCGTCATCTTTGCGGGGGAATGATATTATATATACCCAGACGCTCCAAACAGCCCGACTGGTCCCTCAAACCCTATAGGGATTGGTTCGGCTCCGGACCTCGAGGATTCGGGTCCGGCCCCCACTTAGGCTCCAGGGTGATCGCGTCTGGGTCAGAGAAGACATCTCCCCCTCCAGAGATGCAGCGCTGCACGGCTCCAAGGATATCACGGCCCTTTGGAACACCACCCGCTTCGAGTTCTCCACGTCGAAGGGTCGGGAGACGCCCTGCGCGCCTCGAACGAAACCAGACGCCGATTCTGGCCGGTTCTGGAGCCGTTCGGGCAGAGGAGGGCAGGGTGCAACCCCACCCCAAAAAAAAAAGGACACGTGAGTCGGGGTGGTGAATGGACACCTCGGCTAAGGGGCTATATAAAGAGACACCCCGACAGGAGGGTCCTGGCATGTGTTTCGGGGATGTGTAGATATATGTATACTTAGGACTTAGTCCGGACACCGGACCTACATGCTCCATTTCTTTTGTGGATGGACACATGCTAGAAAAAGTCGGGAAGACCATGACCTGTTCTTGTTAAACAAACTTTTTTGCTAGTTTCCGATCAGGTAGCTCTGAATGCAGTGTAGACTTTGGGTGTTTGTTTTTTTTCTAGGATCAACAGGACGGACCGCGAACATGGGGAGGATCAAAACCATTGCACTTGACTTAACTTTTGATGGTCAAGTCTTTGATGTTGTGTGATGTTGTTATTGTTTCTTTCTCATCCCCATTTCAACGATACCTCACTTCGAAAAAGATACATGGTGCCTAGATGCATGCCATTGTCCCCGCTTGTTCACCGTCCCGCCTTTACTGGGCCAGGAACCAGTGCTCCAATCCCGCCCAAGTCACTGCCGGACCGACCTGTACAGGTGTTGGTCGGGCACAAAGTCACGGAGGTCCAGGAAAGCCTTGAGGAGACGCAGATGATCTTGAACGCTATGAACGCCCAACGGCAATCCGCGCCCTTCAAGGACCGGGAGTAGGCTCATGGAGCCGGGCATACTTGTAGCACCGCCCCCGTGGTTTCCATGTTTTTTGTTTTTTTTCGCGGGGGCAGGGGGTTGTTGCTGTCTTTTGACCCTCCGGTGGAATAGGAGACAGTGTAGACACGATTTGTTTTGGGCATTTTTCTCGTCGGGTTTTGAACAGGAGGGCTTGGTGGAGGGACGTCCCATGGAGTGGTCAAGTAGGTTGGAGGCCAAGTCCCCCTGGGCCCGTTCGGGGAGGAAACCTGAGATTCCCAGTGCCGGGCCGCTGCGAAGTGCGAACTTCCCGACTGAGGGTTTCGGGACTGGGAGGGAGCGGCAGAGCGAATGTCGGGGTTGGTTGAATCGGGTAAGGGGTTCAGAGAACACGGACAAGTGGTAAGTACTGAGACTGAAACATTGTACCGCGAAAATCCGGAACACATGCATTACTGAGCAGAAGATGGAGGATTTGTGGCAGGACCACAGGACAAGTTGCAGAGATGAAGTAGATGTGGTAGATGGATGTGCGTAGAGTTTGGGTGGCTGATGGATGGCTAGTTGAAGGGAGGGATGGATGGATGGATGGATGGATGGACGGAGGAAAGTGTGTCCGATGGAGAGTTAGCGACTGGGGCTGGTGCTTTTTGAAGCACAGCCCTTCAGAGTTGCCAAGATAACAGCCTGGAGTAACTAGTAGGGTCGATGAGAACGAATTCTGGGAAGGTGTGGGTGAACCTATGAGGAACATATATACTTCGTGCAGGTGTTCTTCGGAGCGGTGCACAGCCGCACAGCGGTGCACAGCCGCAGGTGACCTCTCGATGCGCAGAGACGCCACCAGACCACTCAAGCGATGCACAGAGAAATCGATTCTCCCCCATTCACCGGGCGAAACGGGCCGTGACCGAAAGCCAGGAAGAGTTGGTGGCATTGATCACGACCTTGTCGGACACGGCGGATATCATCGAACGTTGGTACAAGGCAGGTGGAGGATGCTAACATCGCACCTGTCAGACACAGGACCAAAGGATCCCAAAGGGTCATTCATGGTCATTCCTGCATATTCGAGTGGCAAGATTGCACTCAAAGTCAGGACAGGTGTGCATTCTTCAGTAGACTACTCAGTAGACTATCTATTGTATTCATGTGAGATGTTGAGCATTGAGGTATGTCCCGTCACCTCCCGAGTTTTAACCCGGACATGAACTGATGCCAGACCAGGTAGTGGGGCATCAATTAATCTATATGTCGAGTGCATATGTGAGTCTTTTATTTTATGTCTTTTTGGGGGACAGCACCATTCCAACAAAGAACTTGTTCAAGAGAATGGCCTGAGTGAGATCACCAGAGCCCACAAAACATTCAGGACTGGGATCTTACAAGTAGTCCTTGTCAGATCTTGAGCCCCATATGCAGTTTCACTGCAGCCAGCCTTGACATATTAGATGACCCCAGCCCTGGCACCGACGACAACGGGGTCTTTCCAAGTCCTTCCGAACCACATGAGTCAACCCATGGGAACCCGCCTCCACTCGGCGCGTCGCTTGGAGCTCCTTCCGTTTTCAGGTGCAACAAATGTGGACCTCCTTGGAGTCCGTCTTCACCGGTGGCGACATCGCCAAGCAGATGCCGGCGGAAGCCAAGAAGTTTCAGCAGATCGATAAGGACCGCGGATCGGCTGTTGTTGGACACAGCCGTTTGCTTGAGCCCGTGATGCCCATGTGTATCTCTACCTCGAATTCTCATGGAAAAAACAACACCACATGATCTTCATAAACAAAGCCGGACGGGTGATGTGTTGGATGGTGGTTTTTCACCTACACCATCGAGAGCATCGCACGTGATGTTTTTAGTTTTTAGTACAAGTATGCAGCAAGCTATTTTACACAGCCAAACGGCACAAACAACACATGTTTTAACGGAAACAACACATGTTTTAACGGAAACACAAGCTGGGGAAACAACACATGTTGTTAACGGCATGGTTTTCCCGAGGACGGTGTTGACCTGGCGGTTTCGACGTTTCACATGTTGTGGTGATTTCACCACCCATTTCAGAAACGGGCCTTATCAGGGCGTCCAAACGGCGCCTTCCACTCCGTCAGATCTTCATGTTTGCAACTACTCAGAAGAAGCGGCACCACGGTGTTTTTTTTTCCATGTTTCTTGGTGCCCTCGTTTGTTCGAACAACGCATGTTGCAAAAAAGTATCTCAGAAGACCCAACAGTTCAAAAACTAGCAAAACGTTGGGCGAGAGAGTTGTTTTGCGGTATGACTGTCCATAGGTTTCCGGAAGTTGTTATGACAAGACTATTAAACTATATTACTGTTACTGTATGATAACTAGAGTGCGTATGTGTTATCAGAAAGGTCAATTTGAATGTTTCCATAGTGCTTCGCGGTTATTTGATAGTGGACTAATCATGGGAAACTTGGTGACTTGTCATGCGAGACAAATCGGTGTCTCCATAGTGCTGCGCAGTGTGTGTATTTACATGTTTTTACCGCAGGAATCAGGCACCCTCCAAAAAGCAGATGTCCCTGCAATCCATTCTTGCAAGTCTGAGCCTTGAGGACTGGTTGAAGATCATGCATAAATCTGCCGAGACATTGAAAGTGGTGGATTGCTGTCAAAATGAGCTGCTGCGACAGATGTTGCCAGTCCTTCTTGCTGGACTTGAGACCTGTCAGAAGTCGCTTGGACTGGACGACTGGACGACTCCGAGCCAATGAGATGGCGGAAACCCTGAGAGGAAGCTAATGGCCAATGGATGCCAATAGATGAGTGTTCATATATACTTGCCTACTTATCCAACTTAGTTTCCGAAAGTGAGAAGACATTTCAGCCATTCTCCGCCTGCCAAGGTCTTTAGAGAGCTACTTGGAAGGGAAGCGGCAGAAGTTCCCGCGCTTCTTTT